TGAAATTGCGCTGGCATTATACTTCATGTCTTCTAGCCTACGGCTCAGTCTATCAGACCTGGTCAATAATAAGCAATCCATTTGCAACTCCAAGCCTTGATGAATTACAATGTGTGCCTGAGCGGTACATGACCCGAGAAGTGGTGGATGTGAAAGCGTGCAATTCCAGACGCCAGTTATTGCTCTCATGTTTGACTGGCCTGTTTGCCAAACGAAATTCATGGTTGCCCTGACACTAAGAAATCAGGCCCCACGAAAGGCAATAAATTATTCTCCAGCCCGACACCAGCTCTTATTACCTGTGTCACTCTACATAGAAGTCCCGTGTTGGCCTAATGGCGGATTTCGTCAGGGGAAGAATTTTCCGGCACAGTCGCTGACAAATCAAATGTCAGCGCTCGTCCAGGTAATGACGTTTTTGCCTCCCACACGGCTTGTTTCACACTTGAGGCTTGACAGCAGAACCCAATGTATCATGAAATTAACGGCCCTTCCCGTGGTGGCGTAACAGAGTCTAAGTAATTCGGGTCTGGTGGGGTTTGACCCTCAAGTGCCGGGTGCGCACAAAAGCCTTTGAATTATACAGCCACAATGAGAACCTTTAGCCGCTGCAACAATGGGATGCAACGCATTGCAATCCCAGCTTTCGGCATAAATGAGACTTGGGCTTTCTGTGAAGATCAAGGGAGCGAGTTATCACCGTGAAATACTCCTGTTCAAAAGATATTTATGCAAAGGGAGCACCCTTGCTCTGAAGTGTTTTCCATTTTGTTTTGAAACAGACGACTGATGCATTTGCATCCCATTTTAGATGGTGGATTTTTGCCCTAAAAAACGTTGAGTGTGCTACTGGAGGTGTAAAAGCTATTGTGTTCATTGTTGCGACAAAGTCGGTATTTCACGCTTTATCTTTCCTTTGGTGACTATTGTAAAAGTTGCGTAAACGTCCTCTCGTCCGTGCCTCATTTAGCATGGGTATTTTTAGAGTGTTTCATATGAAGAAAGTGTCATTGTGAGGCTTCCTTGGGAATGCAAATTGCATCTCGGGCTGAATGTATTGCCTCATACCTATCAGCTTTTACAACACTGTAGGGATTGTTTACTGTGGCAGAGCTGTCTTTCCACTAGAAGCGGGGCCGTGAGAGTGTTTATTTTGAGGCTTGAAGATTTGAATAGCTTGTTTGGCTTCAATTTAGTTCTTTAAAACGTCGCCCCCTTGTGCATTCGCTTGGAGGAAGCCAACCAAGAGTTTCGGAACAAATTACATCTCAGTGTCTCATTCATATTCAGCGTCGCCTGTCAGGACCTAGCGGTGATGAATTTAGTTGTTAGGCCTGGTGGGCACGCTCGTATTTGCCAAAGCAAACGCTTGCGCTGAATTTATTCTGCGCACGCAGCTCCGGGACCGATCGCTGGATATGCAGGCTGCCAGTCACCTGCCTTCAGAGGAGTCGAATGGGATGGCCATGGAATAGCAAAAGGAAAAGTTTTGCCGGCGCACCGTTCCGCACGATTGGTGGAAGTGCTCTTCTCGGAGGAAAATCATCTGCCGCTGAGCCCCGAGAGTGCTGCTTGAAGCATGGAACGGAAATGAAGAATAGTTCTTCCACTTTATTGTGCTTTTATCAAGTTGGCTCTATGGCACAAGAGCGGCAGTGCTTTTAAGGCAAGCTAATGTTTTGCGTTATGTTTGTGTTTTGTACATGTTTTCCCGCACGGAGTCGTGTACATCAACCGTTTCCGTCTCTGCTGGGAAATATTATGCTTAAGGGGTATGCTCAAATATTATGCTCATCTGGTATGGTTTTTTTCTTAAGCCAACACCAATTTTAGACTTGAGTTTATCCTTTGTACACATGCGAACTCTGAGGCGTAATCCTCTTGATATTTGATGAGATTTTGTTTGTTTGGTGAAATATTGTGTCTGTGGAGATGTCTGATTTGCTGTGTCTTGTGGCTGTAGTGATGGTGGGCGTTATGGCACCAGTCAAAGGGCCTCAGATACACCTGTTGAGTGTTTGCCAGTCCACAGACAGATTCAGTCAGTCCGGAGTAATTGTTGTGTGTTTTTGGATTATCTTGTTTTGTTTCCAAAGGCCCTTCTTCCAACTTGAGACTGTAATGTTGGGAAGGCACAAAATATACTCTATGCAAGTCGAGTGAAATACTTCTAGCCATATGCAAGCAACGTCTTTTTTTTTATTGCTGCGTTTTGAAAGCGGTCAGAGTTTTTCAAGTGCACGCTGCTTTCTCAACATGGAAGTTAGTTTATACAGCAGATATACTGTCTATTTAACCAATGTTTGTTTGTTTGTTTTTTAATATTTATTCTCTCAATAAGTGATTACAAAAACAATAGTGCCTTAAACTAATCACAGGTAAAGGAACAAAATCGATAATATATTGCTTGAATGATTATTTAAAAAACTGGATAATTATTATTATTAAAAACTATTTTGATGTGCATCTTAACAATTTGGCAAAGCCCAAAACAACATTATATTATTATTAATAATAATAATAATAAAATATTTCTAATAAGTTGTCTACTATAAATAGTGCCTGTTATTGTTATCATTATTATTATTGTTAATATTATTATTATTGTTAATATTATTATTTAATAATTAAATGGTTACAATTTATTATAGTAGTCATTGTTTTAAATTAAATTACTTTAATTTAATTTAAAATGTAAATTATTATTATATTTCTAATAGTTCATTAAATAATTACATATTTTTTGTAATAATAATAATATTGTTTTAAAATTATTCTAACAAGTAGATTACATTATTATTATTATTAGTAGTAGTAGTAGTAGTATTATTATTATTTATTATTATTATCATCATCACTATTATTATTATTATTATTATATTAATACTTCTAATAAATATAAATGGTATACATTTTGTTGTTGTTAATATAGTAGTAAATAAACAAAATAAAGCAGTAGCAGTCAATCTCTAGTGTAAATAGTCTTGTATGTCCAGTTTACTCTTTCAGGTCAACTACTGTATTAGCAGAGCAAACATTTAAAAATAAATTTGCTCAACAAGACTTGTTTATATCTAGCTGCCAGAGTAACGCATCAGGGTTACGGACCCCGGCTATTGAAGTTAACGCTATTGCTCCCTTGAGTACTTGAGAAGTTTGTTACCACCATGAAATACAGTAGCACACATAATTATGTTCAACAAGACTTGCAACATGTTGGCCAAGAATTGCGTTTGCAGATCTGTGTTTGACTAGATTACTGTCAGTCCCAACCTGTATCTGGAGAAAAACACGGTGCTCCAACTACTTTAGGCAGGTGCTTCTTTCTTCAAGGCAATTTCCTTTCTTTTGCTTTCATCCAGTGGTGCTTGAATCCCATAAAGTCACAGAGTGGTGACAGCATGTCAGGATCCTGTTTTTCAACAGGAGGCGACCCGACCGTTCCTCATCCCACGGTTCTCTATCCTTCTCCTCCAACTGCCTGGAAAAGCTGGCACGGGCAATTAAACTTTCCCCATTGCATGGATTTGAATCGACTTCATCCGAAAGATACCCACTCTCTTTAACGCCGTCTCCTGGAGTGTGCTCTGCACATTTGCTTGCATCCCAGTAGGGTTTATTTATAAGCAGCTACATCTGAGTCGAGGTGTGGAGTCTACCTCGTTTGTTCAGACCGATTCATCTGCCTCTCCTCTCCTGCAGATAGTGACGTTCGCGCTCCTCCAGCCGAAAGTGAGCTGTCCCTGTGTAAATCCTTGTTAAAGTTCACCGCTGTCCCCTCTTCTCCCGGCATTCTGAAGAGCTGACATCTCTCCCCATAATCTGCTGCCCTTCTCTCTTTTCTCCTGTCTGGCTGTGCCAGATCACTCGAGCAAACTTGCAGAGGCTTGCAGTTTTTTACAGGCAGTGCACCTAAAATTTGTATTGAGACTTATCGGATTAGGATGTAGTGTTCTTAGGAGGTGTGCTGGGGTTTATTAGCGCTGTTTGCTAAGGCAAGCATCTGCATAACTAAAGTTCATCTGCCTGGAAATGTAGTCCGACTGCTGAAAGCATGATTTTGACAACTTTACAGCTAGTAACACACTTGTTTGGAAGAAAGAATTAATGTAAGCGCTTTAATTGAGATACACGCTTCATGTTTCTGCTTTTAAACTCTCCGGAATAGCTTGCATTATAAAGAGCTTCATAAAATATAAAATGTTAATTATTTATAACTATTATTTTAATTTAAACAAATCTTATTTTTTAGATAGTATTTTAATCTTTATAATTATTTTTTAAATATTATTTTTTTTTAAGCTTTAAAAATTGTATTAAAATGTTAATAAAATTCAAGTGTTTTTTAAATAATTAAAGAAAATATTAATTTTAAAGATTTTATTTTTAATTTTTATGCTGTGTGTCCTTTTCTTGAATTGTTTTTTTTTTAGCTTACTGTAAAGTGACCTTTGGCTTGGGAAAAGTGCTAAACAAATAAAACGTCTTCCTTCCTTCATATGATCAGAAAAGGCAAATTTTCTGAATTTTAAAAAGTCAGTTTAATAGTAATCAGTGGTAGGTTTTTATGGCTGTTTTTCTATTTATTTATTTATTTGGCATTGTACAGCTGATTTGAACATGCCTAATCTCTTTTAGTTGCATTTTTATCATATCTGTACAATAACTGGATGTAGGCGAGTTATAATGAAGTATGTTAGATGAATCTTCAAACAATGTCTAATCCATCACACACCGTTAGAAAGTCACTGCATTAGTATTATGCTTGGTTGAATTGAATGTGCACTGGGGAAATTTGATATTGGGAATCTACCCAGCCATTGTTCTTCCAGCATCTCACTCTGATGCTCTCCCATGATGCACCAGCTTGAAGCCTTTTGCTTTGACTAATGAACGGCCCTGGAAATGTCAAACTTTCTTTACCCAGCACAATCATTTCTCATATAGCAGATATAAACTCATTTTCTCTCTCTTGTGCTCTCTCTCTTCATCTTTTCCAGTTCAATACCAGATGGAGATGATGAGGAGTCTCCGGCATGTGAACATCGACCATCTCCACGTCGGCTGGTATCAGTCCACGTACTACGGCTCTTTTGTCAGCCGAGCCCTGCTGGACTCGCAGTTCAGCTACCAGCATGCAATCGAAGAGTCTGTGGTGCTTATTTATGGTGAGTCTCATTAGTTAATAACACAAGATACCCACAGTGCATTCACAGGCTGGAATCAGCCGCGCGTTCAGGATTTGACCATCCTTTGGATGTTAAAATATGCAAATATAAATGCTTTTCAAGGTTGTTGTTTTTTTTGTGATACCAATTAAATTTACTCTGCTTAGTAACTTTAATACTCTGCAATAGGGCTGTCAAAATGGCCGAAAAACTAAATTCGAATTTTGTACTTAAATATGATAAAAATTCGAATTATATTCGACTTTAAAATGCATAATTTCAGTTAGGGGGAAGAAAAGCTTTTGGCTTCTCTTCTGAGGCCACAAGAGGGCGCATCAAGCAAAATATTACTAATGCACGTTTATTCAAAGCATAAGATAACATGACTATCTGAAAAAAAGTGCATAATGTTTAAAATAATGTTTATAAACCAATTAATTAAGTTGTTTAAACAACTATAAACAAAACAGCATCATGTATGTATGCATAGTTTAATACAAAGGGCGGAAAGCCAATCACACAAAACATTTTTCATTTAAAAACACGAATTGCAGTAGGATGGGGAAAAAAAACCCACCATAAAGTCTCAAGATATGTTTTTTCAAAGTTGAACTTGCATTAATTTTACATGGCTTTCTAAACATGCGGCTCTTTTGTGCGAGATGCGAGTGCAACGGTGATAGATGTCCCTCTAGAAAATGCGCGAAATATGCGTTCTGTGTGAACGGCTTGGTTTCAGTTTTGACGCAAACAAGATCTTCTCCGCATTGATGTTCTGTTTTCCCGCAATAGTTGTCATTAACAACGCAGCAGCGCCGCATCTAGTGGCTTCAACTGGATAGGCTAACAAAAACATTAAAATGCAATGACATTTACATCGTCATCGCATCTCGTGCGCCACTGATAAGGCTGCCTCCTTAACGCACACCTAAGATTCAAATGCAACGTTTTTGCATTCGAATGTGGATTTTTTTTATTTTGAATTTTGAATATTCGTCAAATTTAAAATAAAAAATCCACATTCGAATGACAGCCCTACTCTGCAACAATTTTCACTCAGAAATTGTTAGGACATTTCACAAAAATGACAAAGAATCAAGTAGCACATTGAATTAGATGTGAGATTTTTAAGTAGAAAGACTGAAATAGTATTTTTTGTAAAATGTACTTCAATAATCGTTTTTTTATTTTTAAAAAATATATTTTTGCAGTGTATTTGTTGGTCCTTGGACATTTATTTAATTTATGATTTTTACCTTGAGTTTTAGCAAATTAAGTGAAATTTGTAATTAGCTCCACCAAATAGAATAGCATAAAATGCATAGTTCTGTTTTATTTTTGAACCACAGACATTTTAATGGTCAATAATAACATTTTAAATTACTGTAAACCATATGCGATAAGACTAATTAAAACTTTTCTGGTGGTCTTTAGAATCAGAGTGAACTACTTGTATCATGTATAAAAAGGTTGCTATGAAAGCGTTTTTACCATGATTAAGGTAGTTTTACATGCTCCCTCTTTACTTTTGCAATGTTACAGTCTTATTGCTTTGTTAAATGGACGGCTTTCTTGTTGGTTTCAGTGAAATTATGTGATACTAATATGCTGCTGTCTTGAGGATTAAAGTATCTTGTGGTTGTTGCTGAGCTGGTAAAGCATGATGCTAGGTCAAGTGTTTGATGCACAAACTTACAAAATGTATGCCTTGAATGCAATGCAAGTGGCTTCAGATGAAAGCGTCTGTCAAATGCATAAGTGTAAAGTGCATCCGGACAATGTTGGGTGAAGGGTGTACTCAGGAACTGGAGTATTGTCTGCCCTGTGTTCAACACACGGTTCACAGCTCCGACTGCCACACTGCCGTGCTGTTCTTTATATTTAATCATGCCCCCTTTAAACCCATCAATAATGCAAGCTGATATATTAAAGGCTAAATAAAAATCTGCTCGCATCTCTCTGCATACCAAGGAAAGAAGTCTTGCAGTTTAGAAAGCTTCAGTGTGAATTTAGCAGATCTGACCCTTATTAAGAACTGTATTTTGAGTGAAAATCTTGCATTACTTTAAAGCGATTTAATGCACTCTAGTAGAATATTTGCCATTTTTAATACATTTTTACATTTAGTAGATGTTTTATTATTTTATTATTATAAATCAGCTTGCATTGCATTCATCATGCATTTCCTGTGATTTAAACCATAACCATCTGTATAATTTGGTTTTAGCTGTGTGTATGTGTGTATATAT